CCTAAATATTTATCTGTATACATATTACAAAATGACAACCATTAGTCGGGCTAGTTTATATAAACTATTATAATCATCTTACTCGTAATGATATGGTAAATCTTTGCCGAAATTGCCTCTCAGTAAATCATTCCGCCGCTGGTTTTCAGGTCGATCCATTCCCCGTTCATGACATCTAAAGTTAAAATCACATCAATAAATCTTATACAAATCTGTTTCAATTATTTATCTTCAGTATCTTTTTGGTACAATGTATGTACTATGAGATTATTAATAAATATATTTAATTGCAATATATGGGTCTTAAAAACGTTATAGACTCTTATCGTACTGTGTGGAAATATTCATATATTATCATGTAAAGAGTTTCGTTGCGTGAACATGTCTCCTAGAATTACCGAATTTTATTGTTTAGAAATTTCTTTTTTGGCATTTCCGTAATAAATTATTTTAATGTAATAGATTACATAAACCATCGCAATTAATGAAATTTTATGGACTTTTGCTTACAAAGAATTTGAACATTTAATTTAAAGTTAAATCTTTTGAATCTAAAATGAGTTGGTGGTAACTATTCTGCTACATATACAGCATCTATATACAGAATGATAATAATAATAATTCTAAAATTTAAACAATTATGTCACTTTGTTTTCAATAAGTATTTTATTAAACTCAATAAATATGAATAAAATTTTAACGTATTTTTAATGTGATACATTATCAATAGTTGACAGAGCAATAATTAACCAAAATTCTCACTAATGGTCAAGAAACTGTCAATAATTCGCTAAATTTCAGCCTAAATATTTATCTGTATACATATTACAAAATGATAACCATTAGTCGGTTTAGTTTATATAAACTATTATAATCATCTTACTCGTAATGATATGGTAAATCGTTGCCGAAATTGCCTCTCAGTAAATCATTCCGCCTCTGGTTTTCAGTTCGATCCATTTCCCGTTCATGAAATCTAAAGTTAAAAACACATCAATAATTCTATTCGATTTCTGTNGTGGGTTTAGTTTATATATACTATTATAATCATCTTACTCGTAATGATATGGTAAATCGTTGCTGATCTTGCCTCTCAGTAAATCATTCCGCCTCTGGTTTTCAATTCGATCCATTTCCCGTTTATGAAATCTAAAGTTAAATTCACATCAATAATTCAAATAGAAATCTGTTTCAATAATTTAGCTTCAGCGTCATTTAAGAACAGTGTATGTACTATGAGATTATTAATAAATATATTTAATTGCAATAATTGGTTCTTAAGAACGTTATAGACTCTTATCGTACTGTATGGGAAAATTTAAATATTATCATGTAAAGAGTTTCGTTGCGTGAACTTGTCTCCTAGAATTACCGAACTTTATTGTTTGTAAATTTATAAAACCGTTTTTGATCATGTCCATAATAAATTATATTAATGTAATATATTANTTTAATTGCAATAATTGGTTCTTAAGAACGTTATAGACTCTTATCGTACTGTATGGGAATATTTATATATTATCATGTAAAGAGTTTCGTTGCGTGAACTTATCTCCTAGAATTACTGAACTTTATTGTTTGTAAATTTATAAAACCGTTTTTGATCATGTCCATAGTAAATTATTTTAATGTAATATATTACCAAAACCATCGCAATTAATGAAATTTTAAGAAATTTTGCTTACAAAGAATTTGAACATTTAAATTAAAGTTAAATCTTTTAAATCTAAAATGAGTTTGTGGGAACTATTCTGCTANATAAATTATATTAATGTAATATATTACATAAACGACCGAAATTAATGAAATTTTAAGAACTTTTGTGTACAAAGGATTTGAACATGTAAATTAAGGTTAAATGTTCTGAATCTGAAATGAGTTTGTGGGAACTATTCTGCTACATATACAGCATCTATATACAGAATGATAATAATAATAATTGTAAAATTTTAAAATTTATGTCACTTTGTTTTCAATAAGTATTTTAATAAACTCAATAAATATGAATAAAATTTTAACATATTTTTAATGTGATACATTATCAATAGTTGACAGAGCGATAATTAACGAGTATTTTCACTTATGGTCAAGAAACTGTCAATAATTCGCTAAATTTCAGCCTAAATATTTATCTGTATACAGATTAAAAAATTATCCATTCCCCGTTCATGAAATCTAAAGTTAAACACACACCAATAATTCTATACGTTTTATACAGTTTTTATTGGGCCTTTATGAGAATAATGTATTTATTAAAACATTTCAAAAAAATGTCAAAACTTTAGTTTATAGACTTTTTTTTTATCCAAGTATATATTTTACAATTGCAAAAAACTTACGCTGTTTTAAACGTTTCTTCATTTTTTTTAGCATTTTCAGATGAACATTGAGTCATACGCGTTTTGTTATCAATTTCCTCTGTCTCTTCATCACATCTAAAATAACAAACAAAGTAATAACATTTTTAGATCGTCAATTGCATAATTCAAATTCAGCACCTTTTGAAAAAACATATATGCTATTGGATTAATTAATAATATATATCTGCAAAACTTTAGTCTTAAGAAATATGTAGACCCTTATCTAACAGTATGGGAATGTTTATACATTATCATGTGAAGAGTTTTGTTGCATTAACTAGCTTCCTAGTTTAACTGAACCTTAAAATTCTTCAACGTTTCCAATTGGTTTTTGGAAACTCTGTATTTAAATGACTAAACGTAATAGGTCATAACAACACACCACAATTAAAGATCATTTAATGACTTTTGTTTACATTGAAATAGAACATTTATGGTAAGTTTAACACTGTTGATTCCGAAATGAGTTTGTAGTAAATTTTTAGCTATTTACACAATATCTGTTTATAGAATTATATATATATATTAGTAGTGAAATTTGTAAACCTATGTTATTTTAATTTTAATTATTATATTATTCTCACAATTTTATAATATAACATTTTCATTCTTGGTCAACAAACTGTCAATGCTTTCCTAATTTGGGACTACTTATTTACATGTAAACGTCTTTCAAATAAGCAATTTACAAGTTAGTCTGGTATATTAACTATTTCAACCAACTTACTCGGAGTAAACTGCTAAATAATTTTTGAAATTACTTAAAGCTCTTTCATTTCGCCCATCGTTTTCAACTCGTTCCACTGCTCCTTTTTTACATCTAAAGTTTAAAACAAACAAATAAATCTATTAGAATACGTTTTTTACAGTTTATTTTGGGCTTTTATGAGAATAATGTATTGACTACAAAATTTCAAAAAAATATCCAAACATTTGTCTTTAGAATTATTTTTTATCCAAGTCTATATGTATAAGAATATTGATACAAGGTCATGTGTTAAATTTTGTCTTGTTGGTTAGTTTCCTTTATCTATTTAATTAATAATATTACTTTATAAATACTGGGGTTTATTTAATTGCTCATATAAATTAATATGCCGTTAGAACTATCATAATTGACTGCAGTTATAGATCATTTACAGACTTGAGCTATTTACAAAAACAACATGTATAGTTATTGTAATACCGTTGATTTAGAAATAATTATTTTGTTAAATCATAGTTTATTTGTACCCTATTAACAATTATTTGAATAACATATAAATTTGAATTATTTATATTATTTGTTAATCCCTTTAAATTTGATTACCATTATGGTGGATTTCTAATGTGATATTTCTGTAGTTCTATAGTAGAGCAATTATTAAACAAAAAATTTTACTTCATCGTCAAGAAAATTTCAGTGCTTTGCTAAATTTCGGCCTACCTATTTATCACTATACATATTTCAAAAAGATAATTTAATTGTCAGTCTAGAATTTATATACTATTTTAATCAGCTTACTTGTTATGAAATGCTAATTTATTGCTGAAATTGCTTGAAGCTGAATCATTGCGCGTCTTGCTTTCATATCGATCCATTGCCTGTTTATCTAATCTAAAGTTAAAAACACACCAAAAAATCTATAAGAATTCTGTTTAAATAATTTTTATTCGGAGATTTATGAGATTAGAGTATGGAATAAAACATTCAAAAAAA